GATTCCCGTTTTGTATTTGCCCAAACTACTGTTTATGTGTGAACCGAATCATCCCCTGTACATGATAATTTATTTATGTATTTATTTTCCAAATTAGCGCTCTATAGGAAATGTGAGATCAACCACAGTTCAGATTTTCCAGCTCATATTGCAGACCAACGTTACCCAAAAAGAATACAAACAACACTTTTTCATTCTTGTCACTGAGTCCTTAGTCTAATCTGAAAAGACAAAGTGAGCCCAATGGAAAATCCAATAATTTGTTCAGGGGTACACCTTATTCATTTTTGATATAAGATTGTAAAATTATAAATCTCTCCTTTTTGTCTAAAAGTCATTGAACTAGGCAGGTGTCCCAAGTGACCACAATACTACTTTTCAAAATCAAAATTTTGCTGTAATGTTTGAAAAGTGTGTCTATGTGGGTGCATTTATGTCAGAGCAACATGCAGCATCTATCCTGGATCTGGAGTGAACGCACCACCGTACATCACATGCAAAAGTCGACACTCAAATCCAGACGTATAGTGACAGCCCGCTTCAGGTTCTCTCCAGTGTGACTTTGGAGATACTGCAAGTTCAGAGTTCAAGAGTTCATCATGATGTTAGTCCAGCTCCCCCTCCTGGACAAAAGTGCCGGTCCACAGCCATCAGCATTTTGTTTCAGTTCAAGTCCATGTGCTCCAAACTTAGATTTTGTTGTTGTTGTTTGGTAGCAGAACAGGATGTGGTCTCATAAAGTCACAAGTTCTTGTCAGCCTAGTTTTTCATCAACCTGCACATGTGATACACTACTGGGCACTTCAGAACCAGTTCAAGATGTCAAACTGCAACTTGCATGTGGGTTTTCAGCAACTTATATGAATAATCGTGCATTATGTGTCATCAGAACATCCCTCCTGGTTCAAGAACTCACTCAGTTCAACTTTTTCTTAATTTAAGATTAGCTTAAAAATAAAGTAATCCAATTAAATCCTGATATTATTCTTAATTTATTTATTTATAGCTCTAAACCAAACAAAAAGTTGTCTCAGGGCACTTAACAGAAACAGTCTTAAATAGCAAAATCAACTACCCAAATAACAAATCCAATTGTAAAGTTCTCCATCTCAAGTTACACATAGACAAATAAAGCTCAGATTGAGCTCTCCGATATCCATTTCCATCTCTTGAAAATCCATCTGCCTCTACCTCCAGCGGTGTCATAACTGCACTCTGACCAACACAAGGATCTCAATCAGCACCTCATAGTGAAAGCCAAAAAACACCATTAACACTAAACTCAGACTCTAAGGCAGAACTTCCTACACCACACATGTCAAACTCAAAGGTCGTGAGAGCTTAAACGGTCTGAATTGTCATACAACAAATGAAACGAGAACACAATCTATTAGTGTATTATCCATATTTAATGCCTTAACAGTGCTAAGTCTGCTAAAATGTACAATGTTAGGTCTGCTTGAAATGAGCCGTCAACTCCTAATGTGGCTATCTCAGATTTAATTATATTATGTTAAATTTGCACCTAATTTATAGATTTAATAAGCCGTTAGTAGTTAATTTTTACACACCCAATTTGAACAAATGCTCCTTTTGTGGGTCGTTCAAAATTCCATTCAACTGATGTTATAAATCTCTTAGTGTCTTTTTTAAATCAAATCTTTAAATTAAAAGTCAAGTCTTAATTTGCCCTTGACAGACGTCTGTTTAAACCCAAATGTTAACTTTTGGCCTGCAGTGATCATGCCGGGATGTTAGTTGGCGCTGTGGTCCTGTATCTCCGGTTACGCATGCGCACTACCACGAGTTGCACTTCCTGTGTAGCTAACGTTTAGCTAACCAGTCGGTGAAGGTGATGACAAGGGCGGATGCTGTTTGTTGGTTTTATGGAGAGAAAGCGACGGTTTGTGACGGCGAACGGACCGTTTATCCACTCAAATTCAACTCGGTCGACTGGTGGACCCGAAAACAAGCCGTAGATGTTGGACTTTAACAACTTCACAGCGGATTTATCGCAGGTACAGTAGTACTCGGCCTTTACTTTTAAGCAATACTAATTTGAATTTATTAACGCATATATATATATATTTTTTTCTCCTTTTGTTTTATGTTTCGTGACAGACATTTGGTGTGGTTCTGGTCCATTCGGTTCTGGTCGAGTCGGAGTGGCGGATGGATGGGGCTGCTGCGAACCGACGGGGCCGAATCCGGCTCCAGCAAATCTTCGCCTCAATGAGTGTGTTCTAATGTAATTATCAGTGTCTGTGTGGTTAGTGTTGTTTAATAAAACCAGAAAAAGATAAAGGTGAATCCGTTTCAGTTATTTTTGTTTGGTTTGGTTTCAAAGGTCAGAGATATTCTCTTGACATGAAGTGAATTTAAACAGTTTAAAGGGACATTTCCGAATTTTTCTAAATTGGGTTTTGGTACAAGATTATAAACAGTAGCTATCTTACCCGATGTAGATGGCTTATAAAATCAATGTCAATTTCTATTTTTCAACATCATGCAGTATTTTTTATTTTTTTCTTAATCTAAATTCAGATAACTTGTTTTTAGAGTGTCATACTTCTTAAAACTTTAGTGCAACATGACGTTCGCGAACGTGTGTGTTTGTGCGTGTGTGGTTATCACACGGGAGAGGGAGTTCAATGCGTGCGTGCGTTTGGTCTCCCAGACTGAGAGCCGGAAACACCACATATAACAGAAAAAGTCAGCTGTACGCTTGAAGGACATTATAGAATCAAAAAAACAAATAGTGAACAGTTATCTGTAAACTTATATTACTCAATAAGCTTACAGGCGAAGTAGACATGGTATTTAAGCGTTTTTTCTTATGCAGTTAATGGGTGTTATCTTTTTTCTGACAAACAAAGCTGCAGTCTTTGTTCCCCAGATGAAAAAGATTTACTTAACCCAAACTCAATTAAAAAAAGGTTGTAAGCAAATCTGCTTCGGGTCCCGTCTGTTAGTACAGCCAGGATCAGGTCACTAATCTGGGGGTGATAATGGACCCGTCCTTAAAATTCAACAGTCACGTAAACATGATGGTAAAATCCTGTTTTTTTCAGCTGAGACGGCTGTCTAAGCTGAAGCCTATACTCTCCAAAAAGAACCTTGAGACAGTGATCCACGCCTTCATAACATCTAGGCTTGATTACTGCAATTCACTTCTGTTTGGAATCAGTCAGTCCTCCATTGCTCGTCTACAACTGGTCCAAAATGCTGCAGCCCGATTTTTAACTGGTACAGGCTATAGAGAGCACATCACGCCAGTTTTGGCCTCCCTGCACTGGCTACCCATTCACCTTCGGATCCATTTCAAAATTCTCATGTATGTTTTTAAATCACTGAACAGTTCCGCCCCATCCTATCTCACTGATCTTCTGCAGCCATATGTCCCACCGCGCTCTCTGAGGTCAGCAGACCAGATGCTTCTCTCAGTCCCAGAAACCCGTCGTAAGCTCAGAGGTGACAGGGCTTTCTCTGTTGCAGGTCCACGACTGTGGAATGAGTTGCCACTGAGTGTCCGGCAGGCTCCCACACTCTCAGTCTTTAAGTCTCGCTTGAAGACCCACTTCTATTCGCTTGCCTTTAACACGGTGTGATTTGTTTTGGTCCGGTCTGTTCTCTACTCTGTTGGCCATTTTAGTTAGCTTCTGCTGCTATTTGTATCTGTATTTCTATTTTAGGTTTTCCTGTCCGCTGTGCATGTTTGTGTTCTTTTGTACAGCACTTTGGTTGGCCTTGTTGCTGTTTTAAGTGCTATATAAATAAATTGGTATGGTATGGTATAGGATCCTCCACAGGATCAGCCTGTCACTTTAAACATACACACAGACAGACAGTCACACATAGGCAGACAGGAGTTTTGCACTGTCTCACAATTATATCAGAATAAATGCCGGCTTATGAGTCTCACTCACTTCTGTACTGTACTGGGTCTTGGCTTAAACTGTTTTTTCTTTTTCTCAAAATTTTAGAAAGGGTCTTGACAATAGTCTCACCTGCTTTTGTCAATTAAGATCTTGATTCAGGAAAGGTCTCACTTCTGCTTGTAATCGGTGAAAAATCTCACTTTTCTCACGTTACTCATGAAAAATCTCACTTTTTTCACGTTGCTTGTTCATAAGTTTCTTAACCACCCTAGAATCTCACTTGCTGTTCATTTAATGCCTCACCAGATGTCACTTTAACAGGGTCTCAGCATTCTGTTTGAGCAAACAACCTCACTGTTCAACTTTGCTTATAAAAAAAAGGAAAAGTCTCATACTCGCCTTGTGTGAGAGATGGGTCGGAGCTCCGTTGGTCTGTCCCCGATGTCTCGAACCTGAACCTATCCCGCTGGCCTGTGACACAGTCAGCGTCCGGGGCTTTTGGGCGGCCTATTGCCGATCTTTCAGCGCGTCATGTCGAGTCCCACCGATGAACAGATTGCGGGGAGCTCCTGGCTAGCTCGCCAAGAATGTTAGGGATTTTTTCCCTCGTATCACCTTTAAAGAATTCACACACAAGACAGAGTATAAGAATTTTGATGAGCCCTCTGCAGAGGTGGGAGTTCGTGACCTGACCAAACGTCAAGGTGAAGTCCACAGTTCGATGGGAGAGCTCGTGTTTTATTGTGAGGCAGGAGGAGTGAGCAGCAGGCAAAATCAACAGATACAGATTTTCTCAGACGCAGCGGAGCCAGAAAAGATTACTAAACAGACAGCTTGATTACAAAACGGGATAGCCGGAGTAGCGAGGTCAGATCTGAATAACATCATGGTTGTTTAAAAACCCAAGGTCTTGGTCTCACTGCATAAGACAAATGGCTATTCTTTAGTTCACATGACTGGAGTTTAATTAAATGATGAGGGGTCTAAAAACAGTTTTAAATGATAACATTTCCATTTTATCCAACACCCGCTCCTTCACACCATCATTTAACGGCCTGGCCTATGGTTCTGATGTAACCCTGGTGTGGGTCCACTCTTCTGTCACATGGTCCAAGTAAAGAAATGTCTGGAGATGGAGAGTAACGGGTCAATCATTGTACCACAGTGCCATCATAGATCACACTTCATAAAACAGGTTTCATGGTTCTCAACTGTTTCTCTGCCCCTAGCTTCTCATGGGAGGAGGTGCCGGCCCACAGTCGGAGGGTCAGCAGCTTCCGTCTGTTAGCTGTTGGATCGCAGGGTGAGCTCAAGATGTTTGAGGTGGAAGCAGAACATTCCTCCGATGTTTCTCTGCTCTGTGTGAGCAAGTATCCAGCAGACCGAATGCTGGACCCCACCAAAGAACAGAAACAAGGTGAGTAGCATCAGAACCTCTGGAGATTCTCCTGTGGCACCATGTTTGACCCACTGGTTCTGTGTTGTCAGGTGTGTGTGAGTTCCAGTCTTTGCAGGTTCTGAGCTTTGCGGGCGGTCAGTGCTGTGTTCTGGTGAACAGTGACTGGCTGCTACGTCTGCAGTGGCTGCATGAGGAGGAGGAACCAAGCACGTTGTTGTTCTGCAGAGTCCAGCTGACCGATAGAGACCCAGCTGTTCACCACTGTGTTTGTGCAGAAACCCTGTTCCTCCTCAGCTCTACGGGACTCATCTGTATCCTGCTCTAAAACATGTTCACAGAAGTTCACAGCATAAAACTAAACAGACGTGTTCTGCATATAGCTGGTCTGTTGCACGTCACAAGTCCCGTCAGTCTTACTTATTTTGCCGACATGTTTTGCTTAATATTAACATTTTAAGATGAGAGATACATCAAATAAATTAGAAAATTATTAAAAATTATCAAATATTGGTTACACACAGAGTAATACTTTATATTTCAAGTATTTATTACTGGAGTTTTTGATGATTATGGCTTACAGGTAATAAAAACCCAAAGTATAGTTTGTCAGGGTAGACAACGGCATCAGGCCAATAAAAACCTTTAACTGGTGCTTAATTTGTAAACCAATTGATGCCGGAACACAAATAGCAGGCGGTCTGGCAGGGGTGGGGAGTCTTTAGGTCCTCCCCCAGAAAATTTGGCATAAAAGAGATGCCATTTCCTACATTTTGGTGTATTTTAACAGGTTGTTAAACATCTGTAAACATTTGATTAAACTGATTAAAAACAGGTCTCTCTTGTAAATTACCAGGCTCAATGAGACTAACAACCTGTATAAAGGTTGAATTGAAATTACTATTCTAGAGAGCAGTGAATTATATCAGTAACAAATCTGTCAAGCGTCCTAACCCCCCCCCCCCCCCCACTTCAATATCAGACCTGAACTCTTCTCAGCTGAATTCAGTCCTGCGTGTTACTGCTCCTCCTGCTCTAATCTCCATTACCACTGCCTTCAGGTGCTTCAATTCTCAGTTGTTCAGCTAAGGACAATCAATCCGTTTGTCCGTCCATCCAAAATAATAAATTGGACTGCCTTTTTGACATTTTGATCGCTGTTATTTTGACAGATTAGTGCCATTGTTTTGAAACGTGATGTGAATAATACACATCAAACGTTTCACTCATTTTTTTTACTTTAAGCTTTTTTATTTATCATTTTTGAAATGTATGCAGGAGTTCTGACACATTGGCAGTTGTGCACGCTCTGCAGAGCTGTCTAGAGACACTCTTGTGCGTAAAATGTGCACTGTCTGCAGGGCGCACAGCTGAACAGGTGAAGTTGACACCCCACCCATGTCAAAAATTCCAGTACATACAGTGAGTGGTTAGTGCTGCGTTTGTGCCGGTTTGTGCCGTTAAAATGTTCGTTTGTGCTGCTTTGGTTTCTGAGACACAGCTGAAGGTGGATGAAGACGCTTCATCCCTGCAAGATATGCGGTCAGTGTCTCTGCTGGCAGCAACGTGTGCACGAGCTGGTGCGCTTGTTGCAGCAGTAACATCCACACCACAGACATGGACAACGTCTCTTCTCGTTATATTTTTAATAAATAATCAAAATAAAAATGCACGATGACGTTGGACTTTTATGGGTGGAGATTTGAGTTGCCAGATCTGAGTGAACAGTTGCCAGAATGCACACGGTGAAAATGAGGGAGTTCCTGGGTCTCGTTCCAGCAGGATCCGGCTCAAATGAACCACTGCTTTTAACCCAGAAATGTTGGTCTTCTGGAGAACGTGTGTATCCACAGTACAAAGTAAGCACTCCATACTTGATTGGGACTCTTTCTTGTATGAAAGTGCCAAGTCCTTCTGGAAAATAAAATCGTCTCCTTAAAACTTGCCAGCAGAGGGAAGCATGAAGTGCTCTAAAATGTCCTGGAAGATGTCTGCCCTGACTTTAAACTTTAATTAAAACCAGTGCAACAGTGGAAACAGCAGTCTTTTTGCAGACAGCACCAGATTGTCCTCCAGGGTCTCTACATATTTTCTAGTCTCTGTCATTACAAGCCTTCCATGGCCAGCTGAAGAGAAGCTTTTAACCATGGAGTCTTCCGCATGTTTGCGTCTTTCTCTCTGCCATTCGTCCATAATGCTCTTGACTGCTGAACAACTGAGGTAATAGTGGTTGCATGCTCAGTCTCTCCATCCCACCTGCTTGTACCTCCTTCAGAGTGGGCTCAGGTGTTGGTGGTCTTGTGATTTTTTTTTCTTCACAGTCTCCGTTTGTGAAGATGGCCTGCTCAGTAGATTTCCACATGTTCTATGTAACTTCCAGTTCTTGTTGGATTTAACAGAACTCTTGGGATGTTTATGGCCTTTGAAATTATATTGTATCAACCCCTGACTTGGACTTTTTCATCTTTTCTCTGAGTTGAATTAGGACAGTCACTTTAAAGGGGGAGGATATTTCTGCATTCATTTAGCAAGTTCAAGTTTCTTCTTTCACATCACCTCTGGTAGATGAGGTGGAACAAATTGTGTACACATGGTCCCAGATACACCCAAAAATAACAAAAATATAAACTATAAAAAGAACCAGAAACATTATTTTATACTACTTATTTATTAGGCCCGAGCAGCTAAGCGCTGCGAAGGCCTATTGTAATTGTGTCGTTTATTATTATTATTTTTTAATTGGCATTACTTTGTAGAAATCTGGTTTCACTATGACATTGAAGATTTTTTTTACATTTTTTTGTACTAAAACAATATTTATGACTGTAATTAATTTATAACAGCAATAAAAATATAAAACACCCAAAGGGGTTGAATAGTTTTCTAGCCACTAATGTAGTTTAAAGAAATGGATTCTGGTTTTCATCTGCTGTAATATCAAAATGACCAGAAATAATAAATATACAGTACATCACTGTGTGGGAATGTATCTATATATAGTAATATCCTGATGCATGCTCAATAATCCTGGCAGAAAAATCTAAAAAAGTTAAATCTGGTCCTCTGGATATTAAAAAACAAAACAAAGCAAAACAACAAAAAAATATAAAAACATTTCGTCATTCATCCGAAAGACTTGCTCAGTATATACAGTAATACACAAGTTTAATCTTAGATTATAAACATTTTGATAAAATCAGTTTAGAATCTGAAGTTATTTTAGAAAGCAGAGTAAAACACTTTTTAAAACACATTTTGTTTAACCTGGAATCCCCCCAGCTGTGTTTAACACCACAGATGGAGTCTTGATGGCTACCATTGATCTACCTGCCTACCTGACATTTGACCTCTCAGGCGGCGAGACGTCTTCCTTCAGCCGAGTCCAGGTGTCTGCTGATCTGAGTACAGCCGTAGCTGTAACTGGGTCTTACGTGGCTGCAGCTGTAGACCTGAACCACTACTTCAGGTACAGGAAGCGGATCGTGGTCCAGGGTCTGCCAGGCTTTTCTCTGCAGTGAAAAGTTCATTCTTTTCCCTTCTAGTGCTTTCCAGCTTCACCTCTGTAAAGCCCTTCATATCGCTGCCTGACTTAGACCAAGGTCATTTTATGTTGAAATGTAGATGTGGCCATTTTTTTAAAATCAAAGTTTTGTTTTAATTGATTTTTGATTTTAACATACAAACAGAAAACACAAAGGACAAACCCCCTCCCACACCGGATCAATCAAACATACACAAATAAATTAGACAGGTATTGACTGTTATGTGGTCTATATTGACTATATTGCCCCTTTTCCACTGTCACGGCGCGGGTCGGATATTTCCGGCTTCACGCGCATTTGAGGTCTTTCCACTGTTCCTGGAACCGGCTCACCTCCCTAAATTCTGGCCCTGCTTCTCAAGGGGTCCAAGCGAGCTGTGCCGTGATGTCAGAAACTCTGTCGGTCACTGATTGGTCTGGGGGAGGAGTCTGTGGAGTCTTTCCAAACAACCCGATCCACCATTTTTTTCTCTACCGCTTGCCATTAGCGATAACACGAGGAGCGTATCTTTTAGTATTTTGAAGCTATACAACAACAATAATATCAAAGCTGTGGCCAAATGCAGAAGTGCAGGTGTTGTTGTGCTTGGTGGCCGACGAAAAAAGTCAAAGCGAGCTAGATGGAGGATTGGAGGGTGGTTTGGACACGGCCACTGCTCTACTTGAACCATTTATAGAAGATGGTGAGTGTTTTCTAACTTTAAACATATTTTAAATTACTCATTCCATCGATTCTGAACATATTTTTAACTAACAAAAGAGGCTGACGCCATAATAGGACAACGTCGGTGCTACGATGCTAAGCTAATTTGCATAAATGCTAACTGTCCTCCGGTCCCGTTTCTCACTGTATTTTATCCAGAACGTATTTCAGCGCGTGACGGTTCGTCTCTAAACTCCACATTAAACCCTCCAAGCCTCCCGGCTAATGCTCCTGCTCCATCAGAGGAGTCTGCACCTGACAGAGCTCCATCAGAGGAGTCTGCACCTGACAGAGCTCCATCACAGCCCAGCTGCACCTCACAGAGCAGCACAACGCTGCAGCCTTCTGTGCTCGGTAAGAACAGATGCAACATGTTCCACATCACTTTACTTGTACCAATAAGGACTTGATTTATTTTATTTTTAAAGTAAAAAAAAATAAAATGTTGAATAAATACTGAATTGGGATGAAATTATGTACAAAGTACACAGGGTCCCAGTTACAGACAACAAATGTGTAGTGAACTAAGCCTCAGGTCAAAATCTGGCCTTGAGGGCCTTCCTGGAACAAGAACTGTATTTCATTGATTTGAGTCCAGAAACACAAGATTAAGTTCATCCAGAGACTTTCTAAGTGTCATGCACTGATCAATTGAAAGAACACTCTTTTTCCATTATCATTACTATTTTACAAATGTTTGATAATCAAAGTGTGTTTAGTTCAAACCATTTTTAAATGTTGAAGTGAACTACTCATTTTTAATCAACTGTGAAACAGTATTAGTGATTTTTAATCCTCATGCAAAGTAGAAATCACGTTAAGGTCTGTTACAGAGTAATTATGCATTTTCTGATTTTCTGTCTTTGAATGAGCAAGTGTAAGTTGGTCTAAGGTTGGAGTCAAACGCAAAACAAGTTGTTGGAACGAACTGTCATGTTTTTAAATCCTCTCAGACGTAAATATAGAGGCTGGCACCTGTTTTCCCCCAACTCGCCTAAATATTCCTCTCGTCTGTCTTTAAAACATTTTCAATCTGTTCCATAACATTCTTGCTGTTTTTCTGACTTCTAGTGACCTCTTACGTCACAAAAACACACCCCTGTCTGGTCGAAACGACCAATCAGGAACCTCCCAAATGAACCGGAAACAGAACTCTTTAAATGTCGGTACTTCCTAGTTCAAGCCAGTCGCTTCAGGTTCCAGCTTCAAGCGCCAGCTCCAGTCGAGTGCGGTGGGAGAGAAGTTCAGTTCTGGGAGCAGAACCGAACCGAGAAGTGCTGGAGAAAACAGGAAAATCCCGCCATGATCCGCAGTTCTTCCGAGTCTTGTGGGAATTATGACATCTTCCACCTCTGAGTGGAACTCCTGACGGACTTACTCCTCTTGTGAGTCTACCAAGAGGTGAACTTGTGTCGAACAAGTACCGTCACTACTTCGGACGATTCACAGCTGTTCCTACGGAGACGCTGAAAGGGTGCGTTAAATGGAACTTCGTACCAGTGGAGACATCTCCTCCAGGTAAAGAGTTGATTTATACCACCTAAGTGTACCGGGGAAGAAGCTGGGAACTCAGCGGAGCGTGCCGTTGCTGATACTGACACATTTCCCTCATCCACCATCTCCCTCCCTCTAAACTTCATCTTTCCATCTTTAAACTCTTCTATCTGCTAGAAATCATTTCAGATATTTTTAGAAATGTCTGTTGTACAGCTGGAAGCAAGGGAAACCATCGCCGTATGGTTTCCTCCTTGTAAAACTTGCTAAATTAGCCATGTTGTTATTTTCAAATTTTGCCAAATTAATGTAAATGTTTGATGTTAAACTTGATTCTGTTAATAAATGACCACGTTCATTTTGATGGGTCAAAGAAAATTAACGTCTCACGTTACATTTTTATTAAATTCAATGCACGACATTATTCAGTCCAGAAAAATGAATGAATCCGTTTAATTTATGAATATATCACAGAATATGTTCATCTACAAATGTAAAAGAAAAACAGTAATAAGATCTAAGATATGAATTAAGAAAAACATCAACTACAAAACATCTACTAATAAAACACTAAGCACTAATAGCAGTAAACAATCAAAACAATACGTCAAACAGCAACATGAACTTGAGTTTGTGCAGCCTTAGGAATATATAACCAGGATAACCATGTTGCTGCTGATCAGTTTCATGTTGCTGCTGATCTGCGTCATGT